CCATGGACTCGACGAGTTTGCTAGTCAGAAGCAAAAAAAATTCGATTTCAAGCAAGCAATGAACAATTAAGCATCAAATACATCAAATAAACAACCTAGGCTCTTATACCACTGATGGATTTTGAGCAAAACATCAATCCTATGTTGTGCATGCAAACCTTAAAGCTTTGGATCTAGTTTGTCTAATGAACATGGAATAATCATCCAATGCTCATAAACCCTAAATCTAGCATACAATAATCGAATTAACATATGAATTAGGGTTTAGATCTTACCTTGATTGTTATGTAGCAAAAACAATCACAAATATCCTTGATCTTGAGTCTTGAAAGATTAGTGCTTCAAATGTTGCACCTCTAATGGAGTCACAAACACCATGAGCAACAAGATGACTTAAGAGAAGGAGGAGGAGGCACCAAAAGCGTCTAGGGTTCTTTTAAATGTGCTAGCCATGTTTTTGGGAGCCTTAGGGGTCTTTATATACTTGTGAGGGATGCTAGGGTTTCAAGTGAAACCCTAATTCTCTGCTTAGGCCTTCAGCAACCCATGGAGTCCCTCTAAAAAGCCCTTGGACGAAAATCATACGGGCTTTGTAACCCCCCGATTCTCAGGTATTGATTTATATAATAATTTTCTTGATCTCAAGGTCTACTCGACGAGTTGGTTTCCCTACTCGTCGAGTAGCAGCGGGTTGGTCCACATGTTTTAGTGACCTACTCGTCGAGTCCAAGAAGAGACTCGACGAGTAGGAGTTAGCAGATGAAACCCTAAATTCCGGGGTATTGCATCCTATTTAAAGGATCATTGGCCTCCCCCATCCTCCCCTTTACAGCTCCTTGGCACCCTTAAACCCTAAATCGTCTGTGTGTGTTTCTTTGGTGTGTTAAAGCTTGGAATGGGGATCTTGGTGAGGAAACACTTGGGGAAACAAGTAAATTGAAGCTAGGAACTCGTAGGAAGCAAAAATCTACTTCAGTTGGCACTCTTTTGAAGGTGTTAGGCTATCTCATTGGCTTATTTCATCTTTAATCTCTTTTGGGTGGGTTTTAGGAAATGTTTCTTGTGTTTGAGTCAAGATCTGAAGTTGCAACTTCAGATCTGGAGTCCCTTTGGCCTCTGGATCCATAAAGTAATCAATTTTGGTAAGAATGAGCCTTCCCTCAAGTGCAAGACTTATTTTCAAGCTTAGTTTTGTCATTTTGAGGCTTTAGAGCTTTGCCTGCACGTAAAGTTTGCAACTTTATGTGATAAGCATGCATTGGGAAGCTGGATCTGCAATATGGAGCCTTTACATGGCTTAAAAAGCATCTGTATGGATGAAGGACTGAAGGGACTCGGCGAGTCCGATGAATATTGTCATGAACTCGGCGAGTCGGATGAGTGACTCGGCGAGTCAGATGGGGTCTTCCCAACTGTTGGACATATATGAACTTGGCAAGTTGCAAGGGTAAGTCAACGAGTCGGCCATGGAGTTTACGACCACAAACCTTAGGAACTCGACGAGTCACTCTAGTGACTCCGCGAGTTGGTGAGTTATACATGAGACTGGGCGAGTAGCTGAGGATACTCGACGAGTTGAGGTCAACATGGATTGTTTGACCTTGATAGTTGACTTTAACTTTAACCAAGGGTTGACCAGTTGACTTATGGGGACAATTTGAGAGATTGGAAATTTACAAGTATGGTTTACAATGAATATAGGTAGTGGAGTTCGTGGCAGTGATCCGAGAGTTTGAGCTTATCTTACGAGTCGACATTTGTGAGGTGAGTTATCCTCACTATATCAATAGGATCTAAGGCACCAAGGCTGACCCTTTATGATTTTATCTAGATTATGGCATGATTATGTTAGTGGGTTACATCCTGGTAGTTAGGATGATGTTATGCTTATGTTAGTGACATGGTTAGGTTAGTGTCCTGATTATAGAACGATGCTATGTTAGTGACCGTTTAGGTTTGTATTTCAGTCTTTGGGATGTTGATATGATTTGTGATTGTTTGATCGGTTGACTGTTATATGATATGAGCTAGCGTATGATATTTATGTACACATGTTTGTTTGATTGGGGGTTGGGTTGAGGCGCTCCTACTTCGTGTTGTAGGCCAACATACCTGGTGAGCGGTCCAGATAGGCTGTAGGCCCTGCTAGGCGGTCCTGTCATGCGAAAGGCTCGGGAGCGGTCCAGATATGTTGTAGGCCATGCGAGGCGGTCTAGTCAGGCTGAAGGCTCATTATGCATGATGTGTTGTATTTGTTATATGTTATGGTTATATTTCTATGACGTTGGTATTTTGGGGTAGCTCATTAAGCTTCGGGCTTACAGTTTAAGTTTGTTGTTTCAGGTACTTCTAGTGATTGAGGGAAGAAGAAGCCCTGATCGCACCGCTCCTCATGCTGCTATGTTTTATGATTGGAAACTGGGATACTCTGATGATTATTATTTTGAAAACAACTTATGTAATGACTAAATGGTTTTTAAGTGTGTTGACAAAGATTTAATTTGGCATGCTTTTATGGGTGTTACATGTTTCCCATAGATTTCGTCCAATTCCTTTCCATTAGAAATCCATAGCCTAATTGCAACTATCATATAATTGCAATATCAGTCCCCATTATTTAATTAATCTCTTTTAGTCACAAAACTAATTCTTAATTAATTCTTGACTAATATTAATTAAACAATATGATTTCTCCTTTAATATATTATTCTTATAATATATTAATAAATCATAATTAATTCTCTTTCTCCTTAATTCATCCTATCAGTTGCTATGGTGAAGGCAACCCAAAAGGACAATGCTCATAATCGAGTCAAGTACATACCAAAATAGTTTTGGGCTAAGACACCTAATCCAACAAGTTTAGGATTAGTTGAAGGGAGGCGCATATCTGTTTCATGTCGCCGGTGTGGCGATAAGGGTTATTTTGGAAGAGATTGTGGGCAGAGTGTGTGTGTTTGTTTTCGTTGCAGTCAGAATGGCCACATTAAATCTCATTGTCCTTTTCTTAGTGAGGTGTTGGATCCTACGCCATTAGCTTGGTAGTTACCCGATGGTCATCAGGAAACTTCTGGGTTCCCGAGGACAGAGAATTGAGTTGGCAGTTCTTCTATTCAGAAATTATGGTAGTATTGGTATGCATCTTTAATTTTTGCTTGTGTTTCAAAGTTCTGTTGTAATCTTGGATGATCAGATAAATGGAGTTACCATATTTAGTTTTGCTTCAATTGATATCTTGTTATGTATGATTAATTATCTTTGGCCTCGACTGTATGCGAGTTGGAATGTATGAATGTGGTGTGGAATCAGATACTCCTACATGTGTGGATATCAGTGGTTGAGATTAAGTAATAGAGTTCGAGTTAGTTGGAATATCGAAGGATTATGAAGTCCTCAGTTTATAGTATATTCCAAGTGGGGAGAGTGAAACCTCGCAGCAGGAAGACTTTGTGCCAAGATTCGGTCCCGGTCGAATTTCTCTAAGTTTTAGACTTCCGCGCAACTGCTAAACCTTTGGGTTTAACGACAAATTATGGTCAGTTGTTGCATTTTCCTTTCGACCCGTATTAGTCTTAGTTGTGATAGTACATGCAGGGAGTGGTTGTGCTTAGACCCTAGGGTGTTAGGAGCTTAGGTTGAGGGTTTGCTTGCCTGCTATCGTCTAATCGGAGGTAAGCCCCAATGCTGATAGTGCGTAGCTCAGCTGGACTGTTGATGTAGAGCGAGAGTGTGGTTCATTTCAACATGAGATCAGTTAGTTTTATTGCGGTGATGCCTTTTTGGGTGGGATTAGAGCGTCAACGTTTGATTGAGAAGCTCGGAGACCGATTGATTCTGCGCATATTCGTTCATCCTGGTTGTTGTGGGGAAGTGCATCTCGAAGTAGAAGTGAGAGCTGATTTCGAGGACGAATCTAATTTAAGTGGGAGAGAATTGTAATATTCCGTTTAAAATTTAATAAATAAATAAATAAATAATTATAATTATAATAAAATAAATAAATAAATAAGTAATAATCCATAAAACCTCGAGATATATTTTATATTTTATTTTTTTAGCATTAAATTCGTAATAATTTATCAGTGTTAGCCTCAAGAGTTAAAAGTTAGATTTTCTGGATGTTGAGGGTTAAATGGTAACATATGGACTTGTATTGAATAGTTTTTTTTTGGAAGCAAAGGCTAAAGAGTAAAATATGGACTTAATTCGAAAAGAAAGGGAATGGAGGGACTGGAAGTGTTAAAATGCAATAAGTTTGATATGTTGAGGTGGGACTAAGACCCGTCACCTCTCATCTCTTGTCTCGTTTAAAAGCTTTGCACAAACCCTAACCCTAAGAAAAAGATGCAGCTGCCACCCTTATATCTCCCATCCTCCGGCCGCCATCTTTTAGTTGCACGAAGACGCCCGAAACCAACGAGGAGGGTAGCCTCCAGGCGTTGCTGCTTCGTTGACCACCATTAACAGTCGACGCTGCTAACCCCTTGTCGTTGTTGTGATTGTCGAGCCGGCACTGGAGCTACCAAGCCCTAAAAGGTCTTTGGAAATTTGAATTAGTTTATTTATGAAAATTCCGAATTCCTGATTATGGTAATATTGACAAATCTTATCAATTTTGGTAACCATTGAATGTATTTATACGACTCCTCTTTTGAGCCATAGACATAAACATATACGAACCATAATAAATCCGGTTCTCCCCATCACCCTACTTTCATATATCATCCAACAATACCGATGTTTAAATCTCAAAGTAAGACAAAATCTTCCGCCTAAAAATATATAATTATGTAACGGTAACATAAAAGATTATTTGTTAAAAGTATAAAAATAAAATTGTAGTAACATAAAAATTTCTGTGGTTATCTGTTAAAAAGAAAATCATAGCTTTAATCAAAATATAATGATTTCTCTTATTTCTTTAATCGTTAATAGAACTAAAATACTAAATACTAAAATATAAATTAAGATCTCCCGAAAATTAATTGATAAGTTAAAAGATGAGCGCCAAACAGGGCCAATATCATCGTCTACCGTTGCACGATCTTCCGACGCTCTCCTCGCCCGTCACCACTAATGGAACTTATCGTTTAAGCTATTGCCCTAATTCTCCATTGCAGTGCTGGTCGGAAGCTCCGAGCTCGTATTCTTTTGTCATTCCACGAGATACGCACAATTCAGAAGCTCATAGGAATACGACGCAGTGATTATAGTCCAATTGAATTTGACGACTGCAGAAGATTCATGTTCGTTTTCGAAACTTTGAGTTGGCAAATTTCGTAAGAATCTGAATTTTGTCAATGATTAGCGCTCAGAAAAACGAATCTATACGTAACTCAGGTGATCTTCTCTACTATTCGGTAAATTGTTTCGGTTTTAGGTCAGTTTTCATTGATGCAATTTCTATACATTTACATGAGTTAATACATCTCTGACCTCAGTTATGTATCGTATGGAAATTTTACATTTTAATATAGATAGATTCCTTGGTGGTCCAGCACATCACTTGTCAGTTAATAACTGAAATAATGGTAATTCCCTGTAAAAGGCTAATTGCTATCACATGTCCATCAATGGAGATTCAAGTGACGATATCTGAACTTTCGATTGTTTTTATTATCTTCTAGGCGATTGACTAGCTGTTCGTTTCGTGTTTTTTTTTTTTCAAATGCCGACTATTACTGATCGGTAGCGCTACTTGTATGATCATCAGGCTATTTGCTTCATTGTAGCATCATGGCATCACCATATGTATGCACCACACTATGTCATTTCATAAGATTGGTTTTAGGCTTATCTGAGTTGAAGCATTGTCAGTGGGGTACAATGATCTTCCTTGGTTGAGGATCTAGAGACATTGGCTCTTACAAAGTAGGACAATTACAAACTAATCACTATCACACTGGAAGTCAAACTAAGGTCAGAGTTTGACAAGGTATATCTTTGTAGTATATAGAAGCCATTCCACTACCATTTTATAGGGGGATAAATTCATGAAATCAGGCTGTCGTCATGCCAAGATTGATTAGTAGGATTCACTCGAACCACTTGGGAATTAGATACACTGAGTCAAATAGTTGAACAAAATACATGACATACTTTCTGTGATGATGATGCATACGAGCTTGAGAGTTGAGAGAAACATCATAATCTGTATCCCAAGATAATACTTCATGGGCCAAAGTTTTCAATTAAGATGAGAGTATTTCAAGAGTGACATTTTTACCTCTGTTAGTGATTACTGATTCATTATTTGCATTGATATAGGTGTTGGTGGGGTTTGCCTGATGAGTACCAAATGGAGAGACGAACAACATTCATCCTTCATAAACTTTATATCCTGCTTCCTCACTTCAAATTCCTTTCGGTTAAACTTTGTGCCAATTGCACCTGTAAAAAATCCATTTGGTTTATGTTTATCATCTCTCTTTTCACCAGTTCCACATCCGTTCTACTTTGGCTTCAAACTTTCACTTTTCACTTTTTCAGGATCTCATCTTTAACTGTGGGGGTTTATCGCTGGCTTTCATTTTTGTCATAAATTCCGACTGCAACAACCCTGGACCTATGTTTAGCAGGTAGCTGGACATTTTATTTTTCAAATAACTCCATCTTGTTCACCTTTGATCTTATGTTAGTTGATACAGAGCTCAGAAACTGAAGACTCAATTTGCACATCTCTATGTGGTCGTCATTCTTCCCTCAAAGGAGCAGAACGATTCTTTTGTACATTCTTATTTTAGGTAAATCACACATGACACTCCATTACTCTTTTACCTTCCACATAATCTCTCTCTATAGATGATTAAAAATGATATTTTTATTTTATTTTATTTAGTCACAGTAAGGATATCGGTAGACCAACATTTGTTCCAGCTCTGGATCTAGAAATGGGCTTTGAGAACATTGTAAGAATAGCACATGCTCGTGGTGGTAAGGCTCCATACTTACTCCCTCTTTCTTACACATGACATGACATGACAGAAATTGCAATTTTTTATCTCACTCAAAAAGGTGGGACAGGGACTTACTTTTGGTCTCTCATCTGTGCAAAAGACATAAATACCCTCTGGATAGCTTGCGTAGTCCCTGTCCCATCTAACGGAAAAGACATTCATGCCCTCATCATTGTCATTATCACAAAACTTGTTGTATTGATTGACAGTGTGCAAGAGGCACGATGCAGTTTCCAAATTGAAAGCTGAGGTAAGTTTCCATTCCATAAATTTTAATTTTAAATTTTTTTTTTTTCAAAAAATTTTCAGAGTTATTATCTTCTTATATGCTATGTGCTTTCTTTTTTCTGTAAGAGGGAGAGGTCAGTCCAAGGGATGAATGCATTCCTCAGAGTTGTCTCCTCAATCCCCACGTGCTGAACCTCATGATGCTAATGCGGTATTAACATCACTAACTCTAGAGTCTAGACCACACATTTATTTTATCACTATAATGCAGAAATAGCAGCATACTTTTGTTGATTTAACATTCTACTTTGAAAAATCTACCTGATTCTAGAACAATGTCATCCAAATCCAAATCTAAATCAATTTTCACTACTATAATCGAGTAAAATTTCAAAGTATAATGTCCTAATAAGACAAATTCTGAACTTACAAATATACAATAATGTAACAGAAAGAAATCAAAGTAGGATGCTATGATACACAAGTAAATGAAAGTATGTTGCGATTTCATGCATTTAGTTATGTGCTTTGAAATGATATATTAACACTTTGTGGTAATATGTTTTGTGGTGACAGCTTCAAAGCATAGGATCAATCGAAGCAATAGCTAAAGCATCAAAGGAAAACATTCTGGAAAACACTGACATTTCACCAGAAAAAGCTGAGATGATTTCAAGATTTTTCAGAGACTGCAAATTCAACATGAGCCCCAGAATTAGTTGACTTGACGCACACAGTGTGAGCTTTTACACTTTCTATATTAAATAGCAACCAACTTTTCAAAATGATTTGAAGACGTTTGATTGGTGTTTTTTGTAATACAAAAATAGTTTTTAATGCATTAAATGGTAACCAGTTTTCCAACATGTCAACTTCATTTTAGTGGGTGAGTCATTAAACATTTATACTCCCATGTTTATTCAACTATTGTGACAATTGAAGTTAAAATACCCCAATATCCTTGGCTATAAAATGATTAGTGTTCCAACTATAAAAAATGAAATTTTAGTGGTTAGAACATAAAAATAACCATTGGGTTCGCGGGTATATAACCACAGGTATCGCGTATCCCATTTATGATCTTCATATATTAAATCTACTTGTCGAAATTCACATTGTCTCTGATTAATTTTGAATGCAATAAGTATATAAAACTTGAAATAAAGTCCAAACACGTAGAGACATAAGCATAACTTTTGATTGTGAAAAAAAAATGTGAATTGTAAAACTTGCAGACATGTGCTAGTTTGTTGGAAGATTCTGTGGCCAATGTGTGAAATAAGGAAAGTTCATTTATCAATTATCATTAAAAGATCAAATTAAGTCCAAATATCTTTTTTATGGACGTTAGTGAGGCAAAAACGTATCATGCACTTGAGATCAAGCAATATTTTTATATCAAGTGTCGGGTTTGATGGCAAAATAAGGTTTATAACAAACAATATTATTCTGATAAATATAAACATGCGTAACCTTAATTATCACATATATAATGCTTGGTATACAAAGTAATATTTAATTTATGTTTACCCTTAACTCATGATAAAAATAGTCGTCACAACCTTCTTCTCTAATAGTATTTGTTCGGAAATAATAGCCATAATCTTTGTCATCCTTTGTATAAGATGATAAAATATAAATTTCCTGACGGTTTGTTACAAAACAACATGAATAACCTTTACGTTTAATACTATCTAAAGCGGTAATGCGATGTCCTTCCACCTGACACTTTACTTTAGGTTACCATGTTTACCTTGACGATAATCTTCTCCCATGGTCCTCTAAGCAACAACCCGCAAACTCTGATTTTAATGCTAGTGCAGTTTCCGAGACATGCTGCTTTGATTTCTAAAGCTACTATTATGTATTGCGGTGATGTACGTGCAATTTATGTTTTTCTTTAAATCCAATTTAACATTAGAGACAGAAACACCTTGATCGAGATCAATACATGTTGTTTGTGACCAAGTAACCACCGGCAGGGGCGGAACCTCTATAGGGCCAGGGGGGCTATAGCCCCCCTGATTTTTTAACTTACTAATATATGGATTATACATATATATAATTTTGATTTGATTTTTCAGTAAATGTTGCCCCCCCCCCCCCCCCCCCCGCGAATTTCTTACACAAATTTAGTTATACAATTCAAGAAAGGTATTATAATTATTATTTTACTCAAAAAAAAAAAAAAAAAACAGCAAATCAAAAGGCAAAATATAAATCAGGATCTCAGTCAATAAGTAATTAACGGAAAATCCAGAAAATTACTGAAATAAAATCAAAACCAACCCGATAAAATTAGGAAAGTAATATACAAAACCACAAAACGATTCTAAATTTCTAATGTGCAATTTATTAACAAAATCTTTGAAAAACTATAAACCCTAAACTAAAAATTCTGTTGCGAGAAGGAAAAAAAGCTGCTCACATTCTCTGAAGTTCTCATCACTCACTCTCTCCTCTTTACCTTCATGACCTTTGTGTGGTCTCTATCTCTTCTCTCCGCCTTTTTCTGACTGCAACTCTGATCAACGTCCTCAACGGCCGATGCTTCCTCTCCGACGAACATGTGCCGACTTTTGTATGCTTGTTGTCTCTCTTCTCCAACATCTTCTCATCACCGGACTTGTGGTTGTATGTCTCTTTTCTCTCTAAGTGGGTGTTTGAGATAACTTTTTAAAATAGCTTATTAGTTTTTTAGTTTTTCAAAAAGCTAATAAGTTAAAAAATTGTTTGTGTATTTAAAAAACGTTTTTTAAAACAGTTTTTTGGATAGGAAAAAGTAAAGCTTTCAAAAAGCTGAAAAATCCTAGCTTTTTAGCTTTTAAGCCATTTTACTCCTAAAAATCAGCTTCTCTTATCCAAACACTTTTTAAAATCAGATTTTTCTAAAAGTCATAAGCTAATAAGCACTTTTCTTAATAATCATTTTTGTGCTAAAAAAGCTAACCCAAGCATGCTCTAAATCTCTTTAACTTTCTCTTTCTAAATAGAATGTGAAATAGTAGAATGTGAAATGGGTGTCGGAATTTGAAAAAGTATTGCACTGTTAAAGTAGTAAAAACCTGCAACTGCAACAATGCTTTATTATTATTTTTTAATGTTTGTCTATTTATATAGGGAAAATGACTTATATGGGTAACTATGTTTTAAAATCGTTCAAAAATTATCATTCAAGTTTGGTGTGTCCAAAAAACACCATCCAAGTAAAGCATTTGTACAAAAAAATACCAACGAAGTATATTCTTTGTTCAAATTTGACTTTGTGGTAACCGGCAATTATCGGTAAAAAAAGTAAAGGAAAAAATAAAATAAAATTTACGATGCTTAATAAGGGAAGATGCATAAGATGCTTTTATGTGTGCTTAATAATTTGTGATGCTTAATTAGGGAAGATGCATAAGATGCTTTTATGTGTACTTAATAATTTGTGATGCTTTATGCTATCGTTTGATCGGATTTATGATCTGTTGCCGACCGGATCTGAAAATTTTATGTGTTCAAATTTCTAAACGTTTAATTACGATATTAGAATTGACATATAATTTTTCGAGGTAATAAGGTGTAACGCCCGTAGATCCGAGCTAGTCAATTGGAAACGTTAAGCGTCAAAAAATGACTTTTTGATGGAAGATTATTTTGAAAGAATAATCTTAATTAAGTTATAGTATATGTTACAAGGTTTCCGTGCATATAAAGAACGCCGAAATCCGAGTTATAACGAAGAAGTTATGACCTGTCGAAGTTTTGCGACAATGCCGGCACGACACAACGCGACGTAAAAAGTGAATTTACGTTAGAGCGATATTTAGCCTTAGAAATCTAAATGAAAGTCGTAGAATACGATAAACCATGAGCGTGCATAAAAAGAACGTCCAAATATGACTTCGTATGAGGAAGTTATGATTTTTCGAAGTTTCGACTTAGCGGTATGCAGCCCGAATGCTCGATTTGAGACCGAGCGGTTTTTAGCCAAAACAATCTAAATGAGAATCGAAGTTCTCGTTAATAGGAGTAAAACAATAAAAAGATAGGCGAAAACGGACGTCGGATAAAGAAGTTATGATTTTATAACGGAGTTTTCCTATCCCGGCCTACTAAAAATAAATAATAAAAATAAATCAAAATTAGCCGACAGAGTCTGAATGAAAGTTGTAGATCGTAGTCTCACCTACGCGGGGATATAAAGAACGCCGAAAATGGAGTTCGTATGAGGAAGATATGAATTTTTGAAGTTTATTAAATATTTTCGATATTTAATTTAATTATAAATTAACCGATATTATCCATAGGGGGAGTCAGCGATCTGATCCACGTTACGCCCAGCATAATGTGAAGTTACGCCCAACGTAAATCGGCCTTCCATCCCCTATAAAAGGGTGTCGAGGGCAGCCGAGTAGTTTGCTCATTTCTTCCCGTTTTCTCGCGTTTTTGCATCGTTTTTCGTGCAAGAAACATTCCCGAGCCTCGAAGCAAGTCCCGAGGCCTCGAAGATCCCGAGAAGTGCGATTCCCGAGCTGAAGCTCTGCCCGCGAGGAGTCCGGTTTTTGTAAAGATCTTCCAGATCTGCCGAAGAATACTACTTCTACAAGTCGTAGTGCTGTCCGATCATCTTCTAATCAGGTGAGTGTGTGGTTACTTTCTTTTAACGCATAATTATTAAGTATTTAATATAAAATACGTGTTATGTGTATATTTTGTTGTTATATGCGTGAATGTATATTCACTTTCTTCTATCTCATAGATCTGATTTATTCTCTATGAAATACGTGTTATGTGGGTATGCCTCATCTGTTATGTGGAATAGGTATTGAATGAGAATGCTATACAAGTTTTAAACTATGTATAAAAATATATATTTATATCTACAAATATGTTGGGTAGAACATGGGTAGATGAGATAGTTGGTGTGTGATAAAAGGATGAGTTGGATAATGAGATCAAGAGGCTAGTTTTAGATCCAGGAGTATGGATTAGACCAAGAGGTAAATTTTAGATCCGGGAGTATGGATCAGGTAAAGAGATAAAACTTGTTATTAGTCAGGGAGTATGGATTAAGACTAAGTAAATTGTCCCTAGTCCGGGAGTATGGATTAGGTATAGTTATTGATCCGGGAGTATGGATCAGATCAGGATTAAGGTATAGTTAATTGTCCCTAGTCCGGGAGTATGGATTGGGCACAGTTATTGATCCGATAATATGGATCATATCAGGTTAAGGTATAGTTAATTGTCCTTATTCCGGGAGTATGGATTGGGTACAATTATTGATCCGGGAGTATGGATCAGATCAGGATGTTAGTTTTAGATCCGTGGGTATGGATCAGGGGAAAAAGTTAGTTTTAGATCCGTGAGTATGGATGAGGTGAAAAGGTTAGTTTTAGATCCGTGAGTATGGATCGGGTGAAGATAATAGTTTTAGATACGTGAGTAGGGATCGGGTAAAGAGGAAAATTTTAGATACGAGAGTTTAGATCGTGTCGTTGTGAGGATCGATGGGGGTGGGATAAGAGTTGCCTTTATATGGTGAAATTGTACAAGTTTGAATGTTCTATATTTATAAATATATGATATAACATTGTGGGATGAAAACCCTATATGCTCACCATGCTCCCAAGCCTGACCCACTAAGTTTTCTTTGTATCACAGGTATTAATACGAAGACATATTTCACAGAGAGATTTAAAGGAGATATAAATCAATTATGTAATTAAATGTAAGTTCTGTTTATGCTTATATGTCTGTATCGGAACATGACATCCCGAGGTTTTATTATTAAATGAAAATACATTCTCTTCGACAAATGTTTTGATAAGTTATTATCATATCTTGTTTTGGGAACAAATTCCGCAATCGTTTTCTTTAAAAGATTACTCTGATTTTATAAAA